GCTGAGGGGAGCAGCAGGTGAGTCAGGAGAGGTCTGCTGCGCCATGTGGGTTGCTCCCTGGCCAGGGATCAAACTCGTGCTGCAGTGGCTACAGATATCTCCATAGGTTGTGTCTTAACCCCTTGTGCCACCAGGGAGGCCCTTGTCAAATTTAACAATTGCAAGAAAGGTTAATCTTAATCGTCCATTCTAATGAATAAGGAACTAAGCTTTGGAATGCCAGCAGAAACACAGATTCTGTGCACTCCTGTGCACACACACAGGCAACACTGCATGCCTGGCCCTGAATTATTAATGTCTTGTTCAGTCTCATTGACCCTCATACTTGGAAGAGATTTTCTATGTCATCGAATTCAGTGGTTCAATTGAAGCTTGCCTTCAAACTTCCCTCTGGGTGGACATTCAGTTTTTGTGAACAAAAAGTCCCCTGGTGACTAAAATATGGTTGAGACCTCCTCAGGCAGGCCTTCCTGTTGTTAAATGTGCATCCCTGGGCTAAAATCCACCTTTGTCTTTTCATTGGTCTTACTTGTAACTCTTGGGGGCCTTAAAATTTAGTAAACATAGGATTGTGCTGTTGCTGTTTACTCTGAACATCTCACTTTGTCTCGTGTGTGTATGTGTGTGTATGCCCCTGAAAAAAAATGTATATACATATGCCCACTGAAAGCATGCATATTTTCAGGGTTATTTGTCAGGAAATTTCCCTCCCCTTTAATTAATTATAGTATATCTTCTCATCAGGAGCTATATCTTCTCATGTACATCTTCTCAGTAGTTGTCCCTCAGGGATGAAATAGGATAATATGAATATATTGATCTGCTTGGACAGCATCTCATGCTCCTTTTCCCCTCCCTGCCCCCCTCTAGAGCTAAAGACCCTTGTTCTCCCAGTGGTTCACCTTCTCCTACTGTCAATAAAGAGATTCTCAAACCCACCATACATTCACTTATTAAACACATTTTTTTTTTAAATTATCTTCTATGATAATGTGAAAATAGATGTGGTAGCTGCCTCCCTCGGGATTTCACTCTTTTAAGATTATGAATCAAATATTTACATGAATAAATATAAAAGTGCAACTGTGATGAGTACTTCAGGGGAAAGGTACATGGTGTTATGAAAGCACAAAATACTGAGTCATCAATGTCAGAGCAGGCATCTCTAGAGAAGTGATCTCTGAGCAGAGGGCAAATGAAAGTTAAAGTAAGCTGGGAAAAGAGGAAATATTTGTCATTTCAAGAAGAAAAAAGAGCATGAGTCAAAGTCTTATGGCAGGCTGGCAAAAGGGAACATGAAGTATTTAAAGAACAGAAGGAAGGTCATTGTAGCTGGAGTAGAAAAAAGCAGAGTTATGCAGCAGGAGATAGAAGAATGTGACCATTTAGAGGAAAACTGCTACTGATTTGAGGAGTGGTTTGAGGAGAGTGTAGGTTTCCAATCCTTATAAATGACACTCCTTGGAAAGTAACTGATGAAATAAACTAAGGAGAGAACAGTTTTTGAGAGAATGCTGTTAAATTAGTAATTTTGGAATGCAAATATTGCACCAAGGTACAGTGGGTGATTTAGGGAGGAAGCAGAGGGCAAGTTGTCATTAAAAATGACCAGGTCAAGGAATCAGCAGGCCAAGTGTTAGGTGGGTCATATCCTCTTGGATGTCAAAATCACCCAGGGTAATGGTAAGCCTTGAGGTGACACTGAAAACCATAACTCAGTATCAGAGGCTTGGATGAATGCGGGGAAAACAACCAGTAGGTCACAAGTAATTGATATATATAGTTGCCATAGTTCTATGAGAAGTTACATAATTTCTGTGTGGGGAATTACTACTTCTAAAGGTTAATGCTGATGGCAATTGCAAGTAAACATGATTATACTATTTATCATGTTTTTATAACATCATAATTTTATGATTTACACACTTCTTAAATACATTTAAAAGTTGGAGAAGAATTACAAGGGAAGAAAATGGACAAAACTCAGACCCAGTCTAGAAAAGCCGTGTGTGGTATTCAATGGCCATGCTAAAGCTGAATTTATTCTGTAGGCACTGGAATGTCAGCAAAGGCTATCATTGTTTTGTGTAAGGTTGTGGTATGATACTATATTTTAGGAGAAATCACTTGGAAATGGTGTGCTTGATAGATTAGAGAAGGGAAAAAGACCTAGTAAGTACCCCATGAGTCAACAGCAGTTGTCAGGGTAAGGGCTAATCAGACTTTGAATGATTTCAATGAGAAAATAAGGAAGGAAAAGGGTGGCGAAAAATATTTCAAAAAGACAATGTCTTTAGTACTCAGTTACCCGCAGGGAAAGCAATAAAATGTGAATGTGACTAAGAAAAAGGTAAAGTCATAGGCAGTAGTTAGAAAGTCAAGAAAGAGTTTGGTTTTGTAGAATACACGTTGCATTTCTGGTTCTGGAGCACAAGGGGAGCTATTCAGCTGTAGACAAATGTCAAGCTCAGAGAAGAGGGGGATTGCAAAGCCTCCTGTGGTTAACCCCTAAACAGAAATGCCCATCCTAACCTTCTTTTCAATTTTCAGCCTACAGGGACTCAGTCTGTTTTCTTGCCCCCTTCACTTTCCCTCACATTTTCCATTAATCCCTTGCTGTTCATAGCTTACTTCTTAGGACAATAGTTCCTCAGCTCCTCAGTTCATAGTTCACTTCCCCAAACTTACTGCTGATTTCTGCAAAGTCTTCTCTTTCTTGCTTAGTGTTTTTCATTTTTGTCCTGGATATCCCTAATTCCCTTATAATGCTATGTCTTGTGGTTACTACTTGTCTATTTCCTTCCCAAGACTTTGGGCTTTTAAAGGCAGGGATTCATTGAAAGTGTCTATATAGCAACTCTTTCCTGTTTCAATAGCAATTTGCTTAATTAATTAGCTATTTGATTAACAAGTTCTAATTTTAAGGATATTACATTTTGAGGCATTAATTTAAGGAAAATGAATGTGATGAAAAATTCAAAACAAATTCCACAAGTCTATCATAGATGAATTTACAAGATTTCTATAACTTGTGCACATTTTTCATATGACAGTGGTTCTCTCTCATGACTGGCCAAGTGGTGCTTGGCACTGCTTAATTCTGTCTTCTTTTCTAATGCACTTTCTAGCAAAGCCTGTAGGAACCTAATCAGCAAAACAAATTTATTCTTGGAAATGGATACAAACATATCCAATTTCTTATTTCTTTTTTCTCACACCTTTTTTTCCCCGAAGGCCTACAAAAATTTAAACAATCAGTATGAACAATTGGACTATGTATTTGCCCCAGTAATACTGGGTCCTTTAAGTCTCAGATGCCCCCATTAAAGCACCACCTCTCCCTCTACACTGCCAATGCCACAAATAGAGTTCCTGTGACAGCCTCCTAGCCATGTTGCAGCTAGCTAAAGTAAAGAGGAAGAGAACTAAGTTTAGAATGTAGAGGGTAATATACGCTTAATGGATGCTGCCAGAAAAAGGAGCCGGGGATATCAAACCAGTAGGAGACATGGAAGAAAGGCTGTTGAAAAATCAAGGAAAATCTACACATTCATAGAGGCAGAAAGTAGATTAGTACTTGTGAAGGGGTGGGTGCAGGAAACATCTGGGGAATTACTATTTACGTTTACAGAGTTTCTTTTGGGGATGATGAAAATATTTTTGATTTAGTGGGAATGGTAGCACAATTTTTTGGACCCATTAAAAAGCCACGAAATTATATACTTTAAAACAATAAAAAATACACTTAAAAACAAATAAACAAAAATCCAGGGGGGAGAAGATGTTGAAATATGAAAACTAGTGAAGCACATCTAATACCAGAGAAGATGAAGACTGATGGAGAGACTCTGGGATTTGATGATTAGGAAGCCAGTGGTGAGTTTGAAGGAGCAATTTCAAGAGAACAGTCACTTTAATCTCTTCTCTCTGCTCCATAAATATATAACTTATAAGGTTATACCTTCACATATTTTTTTTATCTCTTTGGCAGAATGTCTGATGATTCTGCAAGTTCAGGAATATGTTTGGTTTATATAACCTCAGACATTCTGGATGAGTTTTAGAAGTTCTGAGTCTGTGTGCTCATGTTCACTGGAACATGGTGCAACTAAGTCACTCTTCCTTCCCTTCTAAACCAAGCCACGTTACAAAATCAGGTCCATTTATGTTGTCTCAAATCCAAACACCCCAAGAAAATGGCCAATGGCCCTAAACAATGTAGGCAATGCCTTCTTTGAATTCTGATAATGGCTTTTAGTGGGATTGATAATTTGGCAAGTTGTTTGCCCTGCCTTGTCTCAGTTCACTGATGGAGTACTGCTGACCTGTGGCCCCGAGTCAATCTTATGTTTTCTCTGAGACTTGTTTACTTGGTTTATACACAAGGGTAGTAAGCCTTAATCTGAGCACCTCTTATGAAAAGATTATATGAAGTACTTTGGCGCCTCCCTGGTGCCATTGGGGTTAAGTCTCAGCACTATCACTACCATGGCCTAAGTTTGAACCCCAGCCAGGAAGCTAACCTATAAATGGCACAGCAGACCTCTCTTGACTCACCCGCTGCTCCCCTCAATAAATATGCCTGCTCTGCTCCCCATTCTGTCTCTGGTGAATCCTCTCTTCCCCTGCACCTCGGCCTATACCCCAGTTCTTCTATGCAAAAATGAAAAACCAAAAGTTAAAAAAAAATCCCTTTGAAAGCTATTAAGCAAATGTAAGTATATTTTAATTGATACTGTTGTAAAATTGAAGAAACTTTTAAGTCCTTTATAGCTTTGTAGCTCTGGGCTGGGATAGTGCCTTATGTGTAGGAACACAGGCTTCACATACGTCTCTACTTTACTAAAAGACTGTCTTGCTCAGGCCTTACTAATTGGTTAGATTGAATACTGTTTTAAGTAAGAAAAATCCAGAATCATTCCATGCTTGATTTCTCTATTTCCTTAACCCCTTTTGGTTTGTTGTTAATTCTTTTTTTTTTTATTCTGCTCTTTACTTAGGTTTCCCAAATGAACCTGCTGCAATCATTGCCCTCAGCACCATTAAGGAGTGGTTGGCCAAGAATCATCATGAGGTAGGCGAACAAGACAATCAGCAAACATTATGGATGGTACAATTTGATCATAACTTCAAAAAAAGCTGATAAATTGATTCCTAAATATCAAGTAGACCCAGTCATTGAGCCAAAGATAGCTGACCTTTCTTCATTTTGGTTGCATTGGTTATTAAATATCTTCTTGTAATTAATTGACTGAAGGGATTATATTGATTGGTTTTCATGGTAAAGGAGCAAAGTGTTCTGATTCATTTACCTATTATATCAATTTTATATCTTTAGATAATGTGGGTTTTATGTGTAAAAGAGAGAATAGAGTGGATTTCATTAAGATTAAGGTTTTATTTTATGTTACTTCCCATAAAATGTTAAGTTATCTTTGTTGACAGGAGATTTCTGGTGTACAGTACATTTTTTATAACCAAACTCTTTTTTTAAATTAATCATTTCCATAAAGTAGCTTCTGAGTGTGAGATAGGAGTGGACTTGTATCGTTGTAGCTGAATCATCATGATCAGGTTTTTTTGTGATGACACTAAATGCTTCCCTCAGGATATATATTACACATCATATTCTGCTTATTTGAAAAAAAATCTTTGGGGTGCGTTTATTGATGAGTAAAATTTCTCAAGTAAACAAAGCAACAAAACAGCAAGAGACACTATGGAGACTTAGATTGCAGAGTTTGGCAATTACATATTATAACAGCAAGTGGGTTTCATATAATGTACAATCTTGTGCATTCTTCTGGTTTTGCCTTCTCCTGTATTCACATGAATGTTATAAAAAGTTTTGTTTCATTGTGTGATGAACCATGAATTTTGCTCTCTCCTTGGCTAATAAATAGACTATTTGGAAATGTTTGTGTATGCAAACAGGCAATGGTAGTTTCCTAATATAAAATAGCTCTGTTGGTGTTCCTATGTGTTAGTGAAATAAAATAGTGTCATTTTCTTATTGCCTTGGTGCAGGATAAGGGAAAGATTACTCAAAATCCACATGGAGTGATGAGCAGCCTAGAGGGGCTACACTGGAAGTAAAGTGCAACCCCCATCCAGTCTCCAATTTATTAACATTGAGTACAAAGGTGGGGCAAGTATGTAGGGAGTGTACATGTCTGAAGGGTGGTATGGGAGTGTGAGCTAGGGTGGAGTGGTCCAGGGATTGTTGCCTGGGAGGCTCCAGTGTTCCTGTTGGCCAAAGCATATTCTCTCTATTATCTGCCTGCTGTTTCCCAGTATGTTACTCATACCGGACTTTTGCCCTTGATGAGGAGCCCACGTATGACCCTACACCTAGCTGACAAGCAGGAACTCTGGACACCAAGACAATATCTCCCAGAACAAGGGGGCCTGGGGATCCCACATTTTCTTATAATTACTATAATTGTAACATTTCTTAAACAGGTATGAACATTAAGTTCAAATAGAAGTAAAAACCACATGGATAAGCATGTCTATGTTGGTGCATGTTCTTTATTTTACTCTTATTTTGAAAAAGAAGCAGATAAAACATAACTGAATTAGTTTTAAAAACTACAAGACAAATTTTTGACATGTAGTATTTTTTTCATAGTAATCTTATGAAATATCTAAAATAGATCATAGTTATCCTTGTTCTTGTCCAGATAAAAGGTTAAATGATAATACTGAAAACTTCAGAGTCACATACACAGGACTTTGATTTAGTTCTTCTGACTCTGACAGCCATTCCTCCTTGGAATGGTTCTGAAACCGGGGAAAGAATTTCAGTCTCTTTGAAAGCAGGTATCTCTAAACTAGCTCTTGGTTATAGTAAATATTCTTTACTTGTACAATCTGCTTTGCAAAAGTTGTTTCATGAGTAAAAGTTGATAACAGAATTAGTATTTTCATGTAAATCCATCATTTCTGACAGATACTCTATCATGTGAAGTATCAACTATCACATGATGGTGAAAGATAGACAATCGAGTAACAGCTCTTGAATATTTCCATAACAGAATTTTGCATAGAACTTTTCCTCACATTTCATTGTCTGTAGTTAGGCACCCAGGGGACAAGACAATGAAATCCCTTCATATTCTCAGAATGGAAGCAACTGGATATCTATCAATGGTAGTAATGACTATCACAGTGGTAAATTAGATGTGCTTTATGAAGAAAACAGAAGAATCAAAAATAACAACTAAGTTTTTGACCTAAGGGCTTGGGTAAATCTTGATGTATTTACTGAGAAAAATGGTAGAGAAGTATATTTATATGGAAAACAAAGAAAATATGGTGGTGCAGACAGTTGTGGTTGAGATGATTTTAGATATATTGAAGATTGCAAATAGAGAACTGGCTATTTGAACCTGAATGTCAGGGAAGAAGGAAGAAAGGAAGACATGGTAAATTTGGTCAGATTATTAATAACCTTACCTTGGGTTTGGGTTTTAGTTTGAGATCAGTTGCTTGAAATAGAAATACAATCAAGCTAGACTATATAAAGAGGATACATTATATAAGGAAACATTGTAAAACAGAATTGAAATTCAAGCACTGAAACTAGAACAGGATCTCGTCAATGACTGGGAATGCAAACTGAATCTAACAAAAAGCAAAGAGTCCATTTTCCTTCTCTCTCAACTTCTCTTTCAGTCTGTACTATAGCTGTGATTCATTATTATTATGATTATTTTATTGTCGGTATTGTTGCATATTACCTTCCCTGAGCATTCACTTGTTTAACATCACCCTGTTTTGACTGCATCTACCTACTTATTCATGGGTTAAACATCTCCTGCTTTAAAGTAAGAGCAGCATTGAGTTGGAAGGCAAAGTTGCTTCTTTGGGACTCTCAGTTAAGTTTCCTTGAAAATTTCCTTTAAAAAAGTGTGGCATCTGGGCCTCCCCAGTGGCGCAGTGGTTGAGTGCTGGGTTGCGAAGCTGCCCGCAGCCTCTGCAGCACCAGTTCTATCCTCAGCCGCTGGGCGAGGGTCCCATATGGCATGCAGACCTCTCTTGCCGCCTGCTGCTCCCCTCAGCAGTGTACTTCATCAGTCTGCCTGCTCTGCTCTCCGCTCTGACTCTGGTGAATTCTCTCACCCTCGTGTGCTTCTGACTGTACCCAGTGCTTGTATAAAAAAATAAATCTTTAAAAAAGAAAAATCTAAAAAAAAGTGTGGAATCCATGTGATGTGAGTTTCCCATCAGTGGTCATACCTCCCTAAGTCAGAGAAGTACATTATCCCATGGTGTGTATCTTCATGATTTTTGGCCAACATATGCATAATGTTCTTATGTGATTAGCGAGGCATCTCGTTTAATTATTTTAATTACTCTCTGCTATCTAAATGATTAGGAGACTTATTTTTTTAAACAATAGTTGATTTGATTCTATTTAGTCATACAAATCACTCATAGCTGTTGTGGCTGAATACTTCCATATCCAAAGAATCAGGCAGAAAGAATTGGGCACAATGAAAAGGATGAGGAAAACATGTTCTGCCAACCTCCACCACTTGAGTCATTCATCCAGTGACTGGACTGTGAAGGTGCTGTTGTCACTGTAGCCTTAAGGGGGACTCTGGGACTGAAGGGAGCCAGCCCAGCTGAACAAATAGTGCAGTTGGTTCTGATTGCAATGGCTCTAGTGGGAGAGATGGTGCAGCACTTTAATGAAAAAAGGAAGAAGGCCCCTCAAGAGGATATAATTGGGGCACAAAAATGAATTACCAGAACTAAAAAATATAATGACTTCTGATTGAAAAATTGAAAACAAAAAAGGATATTCACCACTGAGAATTGAATTATTGCTCTGTGAAGATGAGAAAAATGAATTCTCTCACAACACAGAATAGAAATTCAAAGAAATGGAAATCATGACTGAAGTGATTAGGTATGTAACAGGGACACCCAGGCATCAAACATGAGGTGGGCAAGAGATGATTACATACTGGCATTATCAGCTAAATGAAAAACTAAGAATGTCTGAGTTCAGAAAAGTAGTGGTAAAGAATATCACAGTTGGCTATAAAAAAGCCCTGATAATATGCAACATGATGATCTTTCTGTTAGTACCTATTTTTCTCAAGTAGAATCTTTATTGTAGCAACAAGTGAGGAAAATAAGTGGCCATTATGGAAATGAATAAAGGAAATGCGGCCCAGATTCCTAAGTCGGAGTGCCTGTTCCACGTTATCTTCTGCAATTTCATGCATTCTTCATTTTTCATACATGAAAAATGAAAATACCATTCCTAAAAATACCATTCCTTATAAAATAGTGACTTCCCCACTCCAAAGCTCATAAGCACCCCTTTCATATCTGGAAGTTAGCCTAAGAAATGTTTCTATAGTGCCTATTCCATTGTTCTACCTCAGGGACTCATGGCACTTGGCTATTGGTCTCTGGGGCAATGTATATATTTGTAATGTTTTCCCATATAAAACAGAAGAGCAGGGTATAATAAGGTATAATATTATGAGATATTTCTCCATGTGGAGGACATATTCAGCAATTTTAAATATCCTACAGGAACAACCATCCGGCTACACAGATCAATTATCATTAGTGCAGCTCAGGCATTTTGTCATTAGTGGGGTTCAAGTATCTAAGATGAAGATTCTGAGATGGAAGGTCAATGGATCTCCTGGGAGCGCTATACATAGAGGCCCTAAAGTAGAATCAGTTTTCAGTAGTAACGTGACACAGACCTGGGTTCTCTTCTCCCTAATTATAAAGCAGGAAATAGATGGACAAAGGTATAAAATTTTGAGACTCTCTGATTAAAGCTGTGACCATGTGAAGCTGTCCAGAGCATGGTCAGTTACCTGGGGCCAAGCCCTATCTATATCTATACAAACCCTGAGGATGGTATTTCCCATAAATAGTTTTCACTCAACTACTCCATGGGAATTTATAAACCTCCCCCACATACCCCCTCCTCAATAAACAAACTACCCCCACTCTTAGCCCCTCTTGCTGGTCTGGGATGGGAGTAATTCAATAGAGAAAAGTTTGGTTTCTTTCAACACCATTATTAGGCAGCTGACT